TTTGAAGTTAATGTGTTACGAGATAGGAGTTTCAGATTATCTCAACATTTCATGTGTGTTAGTCCATGAACTTTCCGAATTATGTGTGACTCCATTTGAGCTCAAATTTGTGGGGTCCATTGATAAAAACCTATTAAATGATACATATTAATTACGAAATGTGGAGTTTATATGTCAGGAAATAGAAATTTACGATTATTTTAATTTTTTGTGTGTATTAGTTCATGTACTTTTTGGAATATGTATGACCGAACCTATATGTACTCAAATTTTGTGGGTCCAATGGTGACAACCCATTAAATAATACTCATTATTTTTTAATGGTGTAAGTCAATCTTTTAGGAGTTTGTGTCACGAAATAGAAATTCACGATAATTTGAATTTTTCGTGTGTATAAATTCATGAATTATTAGTAATACGTACGACTGACTTTGTTTAAGTTCAAATTTTATGAATTCATTGATGACAACCTATTAAAATGATACACATTATTTTTGAAAGACATGCGTCGTTGTTTATGGAGTTTATGTTTCACGAAATAGAAATTTAGGATTATCTTAAATTTCCATCTAATTAAGTTCATGAATTTTCGGAATATGTGTGAATGACTTCAGTTGAGCTCAAATTGGGTCCATTGGTGACAAACTATTAAATGATACACATTATCTTCAAAAGGTTGTCGCCTTTTTTTAATTTATGAGTTGCAAAGTAGGAGTTCAGGATTAGCTTAATTTTTCATGTGTATTAGTAGAAATTATGTGTGGTCGGCTCTGCTAAAGCTCAAATTTTTTTGGTCCATTGTTAATGACCTATTAAATGATACACACATTAGGTATATACCACTTTTTTGAAGTTTATGAGTTACGATGCATGAATTCACAATTATCACAGTTTTCGTGTGTATAACTCTATGAATTTTTAAAATATGTGTGACGGACTTCATTTAAGCTCAACTTTTTTGGGTCTATTGGTAACGATATATTAAATGATAATTATTGTTTTCGAAAGGCATACGATGTTTTTTTAAGAATTTATGTTTCAAGATTAGAAATTCAGGATTATCTAGGGTTTTTGTGTGCATTGATTAGTCCATGAATTATTCAGAATATGTGTCACTGACTTTGCTTGAACTTAAATTTTATGGATCCATTGGCGAGAACTTATTAAATGACACTCATTATTTTCAAAAGGCAAACGTCGTTTATTTTGGAGTTTATGTGTCATGAAATAGAAATTCTAGATTATCTTAATTTTCATGTATATTAGTCAATTAATTTTCTGAAATATGTGTGGTCGAGTCAATTTGAGCTCAAATTTTGTTGATCTATTTGTGACGACCTATTAAGGGCATCTCCAACCCTACACTCTATTTTACTCTTCAAATATAGAGTTTTCTATTTTTTCAGACAACTAACTTCAACCCAATTCTCTATTTTACTCTTTAAAAAATAATCTTTTTCTCTCTCCTTAATATTATATTATTATTTCTATTTCATTTTTGTTTTCTTATTTCATAATATAATCTTTTCTTTCTTTTTGCCAAACAAGCATTGTATATAATTTCATGTAATATAAAATTTTGATTTTTTGAATTTTTTTATTTTATATTAAATTTATTTTATTCTAAATTTCTAAAGAACAACTATCAATTATTGCAAAAAGAAATCAACATGCACAACCGCAATCACAACCACAACCACAACTTCCCAAAATCATACACTAATTCCTTTTTTGAATATCGTTAAATCTAGAACGACCTACCGGATTACTAAATTATTATTGTGATTATTAAAATTATTATGTTATGCATACTATTGTATTGTTATCTTGTATTTAAATTATTATCTTTTGTATTATATTTTTAAATTAATTTTTTTATCTTATCATTTAAATTTTGTGCATTCTTCATGGTGAAAATTAATAATAACATCAAATTGTATCACAAAGTGGCGAAATTTTTTTAAAAAAAATATTTATAATATTGTTAATTCGAGATGAAAGTAGTATATATAAAATAAATTATTTTTTAAAATGTTATATTACATTTAAAAGGAATCGCGAATAATAGAGATTTAATTAATAGAATTATATGAAAAATAATATGTTAATTACAAAATAGAAGAAATAATAATATAATATTCAAAAAGTGAATAGAGAGTATGAATAGTAGTTCTCCAAATTTGGAGAACTACTATTCAACTCTCTATAATTGGAGAGTAGAGGGTAAAATAGAAATATTATTAATTCGGAATGAAAATAGTATATATTAAATAATATATTTTAAAAAAAAAATATTATATTACATTTAAAAAGAATTACAAATATTAGAGATTTAATTCATAGCCTTATATGAAAAATAATATGTTAATTACAAATAATAATAAAATAATGAAAAAGTGAAACAAAAAGTGTGAATAGTAGTTCTCCAAATTTGGAGAACTACTATTCAACTCTCTATATATGGAGAATAAAGAGTGAAATGGAGAGTGGTTGGAGAGGACATTCTCTATTTTACTCTCCAAATATAGAGAATGGAGAATAAAATAGAGTAGGATTGGAGATGGTCGTAATTCATTGATTTTGAAAGGGTTAAATCACTTTTTTTTGGAGTTTATATGTTACAAAATAGAAATTCAGGATTATCAAGGTTTTCCGTGTATATTAACCCCATGAATTTTCATAATATATGTGACCGACTTGGTTTGTGGTCAAATTTTGCGTGTTCATTGGCGAAGAAGACCTATTAAATGATACACACATTATTTTCGAAAGGTGTATACCACTTTTTTTAAGTTTATGAGTCACGATGAATGAATTCACATAATTTATCATAGTTTTTGTGTGTGTAAGTCCATGAATTTTCAAAATATGTATGACCAACTTCGTTTAAGCTCAAATTTTGTGGGTCCACTAGAAACAATATATTAAATGATAATTATTGTTTCGAAAGACATACACTGTTTTTTAAGAATTTATGTTTCAAGATTAGAAATTCAGGATTATCTAGGGTTTTTGTGTGCATTGATTAGTCCATGAATTTTTTCAGAATATGTGTCACCGACTTTGCTTGAACTTAAATTTTATGGATCTATTGACGAAAACTTATTAAATGACACTCATGATTTTCAAAAGGCAAACGTCGTTTATTTTGGAGTTTATGTGTCACGAAATAGAAATTCTAGATTATCTCAATTTTCGTGTGTACTAGTCAAATAATTTTCTGAAATATGTGTGATCAAGTCCATTTGAGCTCAGGTATTGTTGATCAATTTGTGACGACCTATTAAGTAATTCGTTGATTTTGAAAGGCTTACATCACCTTTTGGAGTTTATGTGTTACAAAATAGGAATTCGGGATTACCAAGATTTTTCATGAGTCCGGAGCCTAAAGGGCAAAAAAAATTGTCAAAAATTCCAAAAGGGCACATCACTTTTTATTCTAGCCAAAAGGGCAAAATCACTGCGTTGGCAGCGATTTTCCTCTGACAAAATGACGAAATAGCAGCGATTTCGTCTAAAAAAAAAATTTTATTTTTTTTAATTAAAAATCGCTGCCACAGCAGCGATTTTGTAAAAAAAAAAAAAAAATATTAAAAATCGCTGCCACAGCAGCAATTTTGTTAAATTTTGTTTTTATTATTATTATTAAAAATCGCTGCCATTGTAAAAAAAAAAATAAAAAAATTGTTGTGGCAGCGATTTTAAGTCAGAATTTTTTTTTTCCTTACACATCGCTGCAGGGGCAACGTTTTTCATGCCGAGTACTATTATTTTCATGTCTATTATTACTTATTAATAATATAAAAATGATAAACAAGACGACAGTATACTCAATAAAATTGTTGAAGCATGAGGAAAATTGAATTATATATCATAAATAATAATAAAAGAATATTAAATTTAAAAAAAAAAAACTTTTTTTTAAAATTCTTAACCAAATTCGCTGCTATAGCAGCGATTTTGAAGAAAACAAGTTATTTTTTTTTGAGAAAATATGCAGCGATTTTTATTTTTGTTTTGTCAGAAGCCCTTTTGGTTAATTTTTTTTTGATGTGCCGTTTTAGTTTTTTTAAAGAAAAAGTAGCGATCTTTAATTAAAAAAAATTACAAAATGCGATTTTTAATTAAAAAATTTTATTTTTTTTTACAAAATCGCTGCTGTGGTAGCGATTTTTAATAAAAAATAATTTTTTATTTTTTTTTTACAAAATCGCTGCTGCGGCAGCGATTTTTAATTAAAAATATTTTTTTTATTTTTTTTTACAAAATCGCTGCTGTGGCAGCGATTTTTAATTTAAAAAAATAAAAAATAAAAATTAGACGAAATCGCTGCTATTTCGTCTTTTTGTCGGAGGAAAATCGCTGCTGGCGCAGCGATTTTGTCCTTTTGGCTAGAATTAAAAGTGATGTGCCCTTTTGGAATTTTTGACAATTTTTTTTGCCCTTTAGGCTCCGGACTCGATTTTTCATGTATATAAAGCCCATGAATTTTCATAATACATGTGACCGACTTCATTTGAGGTCAAATTTTGTGTGTCCATTGACGATGACCTATTAAATCAAACACATTGTTTTCAAATGACGGACCTCTTATTTTTAGAGTTTTTGTGCTACGAAATAGCAATTTAGGATTATCTCAAGTTTTCTTGTGTATTAGTCCATGAATTTTCAGGAATAATCTGACAGACTTTGTGTGAGCTCAATCCATCACAAACTTTTTGGCAAGCAATACTATTGCTTATTCATAACTGACATCTCTTATTTTACCATTTTAGGGTCCAGAAATGTGTATTAATGATTATCGAAGCTTTCCATGTGTATTAGCACATGAATATTTTGAAAAACGATCGACGTACTCTGATTAGCATGAAACTTGACTGGTATGAACAATACACAGAATACTGAAACTAGACTTGGTCCATCACAAATAATATTGAAAACTTAGTCTCAGTAAACTTGTATTGCTAAATTGACAAAAAAACATAAAAATGTGAACAAAAGGAGCAGTTGAAGTTGAACTATAAAGAGATCTGTACACCTAGTAAAATCACTTCAAGCTGCTCCAAGAATGCCCTCAACAAATTGATTGAGGCTCAAGACATGAAACTGAGACAAAAAAAGCAAGGAGGATCACTAGAGTTCTCTTCAGGGGTAATGCCCTCCAAGCATACGGCGTGAAAAGCGTGCCCACATGACAAAATAGCAACACTTGGGAGAACGGAAGGCTCAACATCGTCCGCGTATGCATATGCATCTGCATATTCATCAGGCATGTCACACAGATCATTTTCGCATATTGGGCAAGTGACTCTCGATGAATGAAAATTTTCATCCGAACCTGCAATTTACAAACTATTGGTCAGCTATTCCACTAAAGCAGAGAACACAAACTTGCACCTATAAACATGCTGCAATGCATATGCTGGTGACACTGCCTTTTGCCGTTAAATGTTATCCTTAGACGGGCATAGCACAAGGATCATGCCATTGAAATCGTTGTGCTTGGTGTGCACATCAACATGCTACATCATCTATAGTATGATGGAGTTTAGGATATCTAACAATGAGTAGCTTTTTTGGTCCCTAAATATCTCTTAACAAACTGTATAGCATTTACAAGATGAGTAGAGAAAATCTTGGACATACCTTCCCAAGCAATATGATGGATGGGCTCTTCATATCCTACGTATGTCTCGCTAATTCTAGAAGGCTCCTCGGTACTTGTGGATGATTTAGACTGCCTGATGAAGGTCGGAAGCCTTGTCTTTCCTGCCAAAGCGCGGCCAGGAACCGGAGGTGGAGCTGAAATCCTCTTGATTTGCTGGACTTGAACTGAATGACCAGTCAGTAGCAATCAATGTTAGAAATCTCCTGAAGCAATAGTTGAAACAAAAGTATATGGCTTCTCTAAAATGAAGGAAAGAAGTATTATTCACGCTGATCGTAAAAGGTAATTATATAAACCCTTAGCACCAGACATGAACATTGACTAGCAATCAATGTTAGAAATCAGAAAGGAAAGGAAATTTACTCTTACCTTTTTCCTTTTTGGTCCTAATTTTTCTGGAAGAGCTAATTGTGTGAGAGGAAAATGAACTTTTATTCCTCGTCTCAGCGCGGATCCTCAACTTACATATACTTTCAGATTCTTTTCCACTCAAAACTTTTGTGTTTAAAGCATGTGATGAATTCTTCTTAAGAATCTGGGCATCCTTCTTGCTAGATAAAACAGGATATCTCCCAACAGATGACACTGGAGTCAAAAGTGGGCCTTCTAACTGCTTTTCCACAACTTCACTACGGATAGAGCCATCCGTTTTACATTCCCAACCTAAAGGGCTGCCAACCATATTTGATAGTCAGATGATCCTGAAAGTGCTTTGTTCAACAAAGCAGCTAACGTAAGCTGCAAATCACCTAAGCAACACCAGCCCGCCAAGTAGTGTATGGGAAAGATGAATCCACAACAGACTTGTTTCTTGCTACTGCAATAACCACAACAACCGGTCACATCTTGCTGACATGTAAAACCATGATAGCATCTACAACACATGCATATTATTCATTGCTAGATAAATTCGATTGCTCATAATTGTCCATAAAAGATGGTAAGTTTTTCCCTCTATTAATACAGTTACCAATCATTAAATCCAAAACTACCACAACTAAACAAAAGGGTCAGCATTACAGCATGTACAAATTTGTATAGGACCTATTTCTATATTAAGTATATCCAACCAAAAAATTACACGCACTGTGTTCTAATAGATGCATGACATATGTTTGTAAATAGGTTTTTAGCACTAAACAATAGTTAACTAACATACATTTTCACCTTGCTAAATCATGTAACTATAGTAAGTGTATATGATGAGTATTTAACCTTCCTTTTCCTAGTTTATTACATCTAAAACTGACAGAAATAACTGAACGATCACTATAAAAACCTACGAGAATTGAACTTAACTATATCACCAATTAATCCTATTCTCAGTTTAGTGCATACACAAACCTTACCCCTACCTTGGGAGGTGGAGAGGTCGTTTCCAATAAACCCTCGACTAAAGAAAAAACATGATAAAGTAGCTTGGAAAAAGAAATACCATAAATGAAGAAGCCTCCACAAAACAAAATACTAAAGATAACATGACAAAGCATTCTGAAGTCAATACTAGACAAAATTCCCACAAAAAGAAAACCCCATATAAAGAATAACACCAAAAATCAACAGCATAATCAGTTCTAGAGTCCAGTAGAAAAAAAATTTCACAGAACACAATACTTGACAAATTCCCACAAAAAAAAAAGAAGAAAAACCCATAACACAAAGCATCATCATTTAAAAAAATTACTAAACATCACATCACAATAATCAACAAATTACCATTAAAAAAACCCATAACAGAACCATACCAAAATATTCAAAGTAGAATCTTTTTCTTCATAAAGAATCATATGATCACCACAGAAAATCAAAAACTCAAATACCCAGAACTCAAAACTCAACAAACACCCATAAAAACTAAACCCCACAACAGAATTATACCAAAATCAACAGAAAAATCAGTTCTTGATTATCTAAAAAAATTCAAAAATAGAAAAAAAGAATGCACCTTTTTGCAAACTGTTAAAAGGGAGTGAAGATAGTAACTACAAGAGACCCTAATATGAGATTAAATATGAAAATTTTGAAGAGGCGGTAGATTGAAAAGAACAAAAATAGAAGAGTCCAAATCATTCAAGGAAAGAAACTAAATGTTTATATTTGGGGGAAAACAATGATAAATTTTCCTTTTAAAGGTTTTGGTTGTGGGCTCCACTTTGCCTATTTTTAGGGGGTATTTACGTAAAAAAAGTTTTTATAAATATTTGATCCTATTAATATTATCAATTAATATAATTCTTTAAAAGTATAAATATATCTAAGATAATATAGTGAAATATGATTTTATTCTGTTTTGTTTTTTGTTAAATTTTAAATCTAGTTGAAACTCATCTTTTACTTTTTTTATTACATTCAAAAGTAACGGTGTTGTCATGACTGTAAATCTTTTTAAGTGCATGTCGAATGGTTTATCTTGTATTCATGTATAATGTTTTACGTATTTGATCTGTCATTATTGATTTTGTGACACATTTTAAATGAGAAGTCATTTTTGGATATGGTTTCAAGAAATTTCTTATTTTGGTTATATAGTTTATTTTGTCTTCGCCATACATTGAATGTTTTTAATAAAGATACAATGAATAATATCTGATTATTAAGAAACAATAAACTTATGTATAATGAATTTATTTTTACAATGAATTATTTAACAAAATAATATATTACAATGAATCATACACACATTGTACATTATGTATAATGAATTTATTTACAATGATTATGATGTATTCATTGTACTTTTGTATAATAAATTTATTTTTTAAGTGAATTCTATATATACGATACATAAATTCATAAGATACAATGATTTTGATGTAATCAAAATTAACCTTTATTGAATCACAAAAGACTCTTTAAATTAATAAATATTAATTTATCAATTAAATAATATTTCATGATCTCACATATATTAATTTAGTGCGTATATAACTGAAATATAACACATGTGGCCGTTAGTTATTTTTGTTGTTCTATGAGATCACGTGTTATTACTAATTATTGATGTGAAATTATATTATATTAACGTTGTTATTTAGTCAACAATTGTCTAATTACTCATAAATTTGTAAAATAAAACGATCATAGTTAAAATGCATCGATCCTTAACCAAAGTCTCTAGTTCTAATCTCAAATTAGAAGTAGAATCAACTCGATAGTAGGCACTTTACCCTCAAAATACTACTTCTTGATGCAAATTCAAATTAGTTAAATCCCAAAACAATATCAGGCATCGACACCCAAAAAAAAAAAAATCAACCACCACAGAGTATAATGGAATAGAGAAACTCTTGGCAGGAAGCGCTTCCCCTTAATTAACTAGGCTCTACACATCGCGTATCTGCACAACGCGGATCAATAAATTTCGAACACATAATGCATTAAAAAGAAAAAAAAAATCAAGACAAGCATGAGCTATCATCAAACGTTTGATCAAGAAACTAATAAAAGAAGGATGAATATTCACAGAATTTTACAAGTCTATAAGAAAAAAGGCATTATATACACAGGAAGAAGAAGAAGTCTGATTGATTTTCACCATCAGCTGTACAATAGGAAATCAAGCAAAGAATCCCTCTAAAGAAAAAGAGTGATAATTAAAAAACTATATAAATCATTCTGTACAATTTTGATTTCTTCCCTCATTTCTTTCATTTCCATTCATGAGATCAGGAAGGAGGTGGTGAATGAATGGTGGTATCAGGTAACATGGCTACTGTCACGACGAAGTATTCACAGCCAACAGGAAGACCATACGGGTTCGTAGTTGATCCTGAATTCAAGGACAAACGACTGGTTCCTGTGTCAGAAGTCAGTATATCTAAACGATCTCTATCATGGTCAGCTCGAACTGATGTTGAGGGTGTCGACCTCACAGTTTGTCGCTCAATATGCACAACCAGCCCTACAATATAGCTTGGACGATTTGGAAGATGGTCAGTAAACAGAGCAACAGATTCTGCAGAGAGGTAGTAATGAGGGCAGTTTCGATTGATAGCTTCATAGTTTCCAGTGGAGTTGAGAACAAATGCTGCAATCTCATGGACTTCTAAACGCCCAAACGATATCCTCTCTTTGTTTGCCTGATGAACAATTAGGAAAGTATAAGTAGCAAAAACAAAGAAACTTTAGGTCACTCCCAAAACAGCGATATTACTACGCCCAAAGAGGGAACACTTACCAAAACAATAACCAATCCAAAGGGAGAACCTCAACAGTAAGTCTGAAGAAGATTTTAACCCCAAAAAAAAAAAAGATTGAAGAAGAAAGGTAATTTATAATTGTGAAAATAAAAAAGAGATCCATAGCATTTCCAAAACATTTGCTTTAACTTAACGTAATTCAGGTGTTAATGTAACTGAAGATCTCAAACATAGACAAACCACAGTGGAAACAAATCGCTTTAGCAAGGGCACATGTATATAAACAGAATACAAGAAGCTATATCGTTTACCTGCTTCTCATGTTGATGCTTTTTGTAGAGGGTGTTAACCAAATCTTTCTTTTCTTCCAACTCCTTTGATACCTGCTTATTCGCAGCATCAAATTTGGAACATTTATCAGCCAGCTCTGCTCGATGCCTTGATAATGTACCAACTTTATCAGCAAGTACCCGGATGCATTCCCTAAATTCAGCTGAGCCATCCTCCTCTTTTTCATTTATTGAACTAAAAACAAATCAATTTAACTTCATCAGCCAGTGTTAGTGAAAAGAACGCATAATATAACCATTGATTTTTATTCCAATCCACCAGCAAACCAACAGACTTCACTTCACTTCACTAATAAATGATTATCATTGTCCTAATACTGTATCTTTTACTAATCCAAGAGATAAATGAACTTGAAGAAACTAACATGTCATAACATCAGCAAGTGTTCCCTAGTTATGTTTAGTTCTCTCTTTTTAGGGGGCAGAAGATGAGAAATGTCACAATATCAGCAACTGTTCCCTAGAGATGTTCCCTCATTTTAGGGTGGGGGGGGGGGGGAGTCTACATACACTACCCTACCCAGACCCCACATGTAGGTTTACACTGGGTATGTGTTGATGTTGTATTCACATTCTAGCTCCACTGTTCTGTTCTTGGCAAATACAAGCATGTCAGTTCTCTAACTCTCACCATCATATTAGAGCAAGATTTTTGAAATTAGTAGTTCTAGAAAATGGCAAAAAATTGAGTACTCCGTATCGTTTTATCCCACAAGTGGAGTTTGGGAGGGTAGTGTGCACGCAGACCTTACCCCTACCTCGTGGAGGTAAAGAGGTTGTTTCCAATAGACCCTCAGCTCAAACAAAGAAAAAGAAAGCATTTTGAATAAAGAAAGCAAAGAAGTGAAGAAGCCATGACATATACTAAAGAAAGCATTACAATGCATTTGGAAAGAAAGGAACAGTAACATCAGCTAAAGAAACAACAAATAGAAACAAAAATAGAACAATAAACTACATGAATAACACTAGCACTACTAGTATGAAAAAAGTAGCAGATACAGTGCTCAATATTTGGATGAAGTTGAAAAAATAGTATTTAAAATTGAAGTTGAAAACGAATATTTGGAAGCTGAAATTGCATTGGAACATGAATTTCACTTGGAAATTGAAGAAGCAACGGGAAAATTTTGACAGAGCATAAAAAAAGGAAACTAGATTTTTGGTGCTTCATGTGCAAGTGTTGAGGTGAAGATGTAATCACCTCCTCCTACATTGTCCTGCACCCATCTGTGGTGTGAGACTTTAAGATGGTTCAGGATGCAATAGGTAATGTCAGGCACAGCACAGGTTGAAAACTTAGGAGGAGGAAATGAAGTTGAAGAGCACAGGATGTTACCTCACCAGCACTCATTGTGATGGGGTGAAAGGAAAGAAATAGGAGCCTTTGAGGGAATAGACAATAGAGAATGACTATACTTTTGAGGAACAACCTTCTCATTCCTAGTTTCTTTTTTTGTACATTCATGAGGTTCTATAGTTTTATAGAAGATTGGATGTCGTTCTTAGAAAATTATATTCTGTTGTAGATTCATTATTTTTTGGTATATTACTTCTATGAGGGATTCTTCTCATTTCCGCAGACTCCACTGGGGAATACATTTGTTTGTTTGAGGGATTTTTCTCATTACTAATAAAAATTATTTACCTTACCAAAGAGATATGTTTGCAACAAAGTACCTCAGCCACTTTGCACCAGCATATTATAAGATTACAAAGTTGATAGGATTAATATAATTAGTGTGCTATACACATACTCCATGAAGGAAATATAAGAAAAATCTAGCGAGTAAAGTTTACAATGATTTACTGCATTAGTCTCGGAACTCAATTGATGAATTGGGTTTTTTAACCTTCATCTATGTACTTGTTTATCATTTTTGGTTGGACAAGGAGAGTTGAATCAATTATTCAGATAATGAATTAGCAGAGCACAATTGATTAATGAACTAAAATGGGGTTATTCTGTGAACTCTGCACTTGAGCCATGTTCACACCTATTGTTATTTTCCAATGGATCTTGCATCTAAAACATGTATCAACATCAACAATTAGAAGGTATTTACAAATAAGTAAGTTCCTGTCATGCATCACAAAATGTCGCGTCAAGTAGGGTAAAGATATTATGGCAAGAGCTTACTTGGATAAAGATTGAGATAATGCACGCAAGGACTCGGCCAAACTAACCACACCACCGGACAAAACACATACTCTCAATCTTTCAAAGAGGCCACGCATTTTGACTGCAGAAGCACGCAAAGCGCTATACTCAGAGGCTCTTCTATCAGCTGCACACAGATGTGTTTGAGCTTCCTCTCTTGCTTCATGAAGGCAATTTTCTAAATGAGCACAGTTCATCTGCAATTCAACAATGGAAAAAGATTAAGAAAAAGTCATTAAATAAATTAGCTTATCCTGAGATAACAATTGCAGTGATACAGCTGATCATACCAGACAGGCTAATCTTCTATGTGTCTATATATATATAAGGTTGGGAATGGAAATGGTGATGTGGCGCCTTATATCAGAATCTCTATTTATCTTTTTTTCC